TTTTCCCTAGAGGGAACGTATAAGTATTCTGGTGAGTGAATGATACTGGTTCTAGCTCCCAGTTACTAATTAGGCCACTGGAAACGTGCAGGCCCTTGCCCCGTAGAGAAGTACATTTAACACCCGCACGCACCCCCAGAAATCCCCAAGCCCCTCACAATGGAAGGCTTTTGGCACTTTGCCCTCTGAAGCGCTCTAAATAAATATCCTGTCTGGTATAGCTGTAGATAGATAAAATAGCCATTTTTCACGGAAAAGGCCACTAAATCCATTCTGTGCTGTGTAGGTTATAGTCCTCAGAGGACGTCTCCTGGAATCTCAACGGGTTTGATTTGCTCCGTAGTTAAAGTTTAGTTTACAGAGACTAAATGCATTTTTTTCTTCTGTGCTTAAGTCGATTTTCTTTTTAGTTGTAACTAGAGAGAGTCTTTATTTGATGGAACCGACTATTTTATATATCCAAACGATCCAAAAAATAAATGTTGCCTTTAGAAAGAGTTCCACGTAGCAGTACATATACATGGAACCCTGATGTATTGTGTTACATTTAGCAGAAATTAGGACTTAGTCAGCGGTTTGGTGGCTTTTTTTTTTTTTTTTGAGGAGGGGGAATTTACATGAATGAAACTCAATGGTCGTAACTATAAAACAGTTCTCAGAATCACTCTAGCTCCAAGCTCATTAAGCCGAATTACATAGGGGTTTTACATAAAGCTTTGCATTAGTGGCTGTAGTATTGCTGCCTCTTATTAAAGCAGTTTGTTGGCCATCCAAATTAGAACGAAATGATGGAGATAAGATTTAATAGTCAAATTAAAATGTTAAAAATATGGAGCGCAATTAACAGTCTCATCCTGTTCCAGCTGTTTTTGAAGACTGGGATTAGTCGTGGTAGGTAGCGTCCTTACTGGGGGGGGTTGTGGGTTTTCGGCAGAAGCCATCGCTGCTGAATTTGTCATTTGAAACTGTTTTGAAACTGTTGGGCTATTTGCCATCAGGAGATTTTCCACCCCCCAAAAAACGGCTCTGCTGTGAATGGGGGGAGAGTCGGAAGCCGTGCCTCTCCTAGTGAGGAAGGTGATGGCGAAGGAGCGTCCTTGTCCGCCTCTCCCCAGAGAGCTGTGCAGAGACGGGCTGTGGGTCCTCAGCAGACCAGGTCGCCCTCCTGCGCTGCGCTCACCGCAGGCTTCCCTGCTGCACTGGTCTGTCGCTTGACGTACGCTCAACTAAGGCAGGGCACGTGTCTTTCCCAGTGCCTTAATGGCTTTGTTGTTAGCTCCCAGAAAGCTAATTATAGCGCGTGATGCTTTGTGTCGGCGAGCAGGGTGTTTTCCGGGACGGCAGCGTAAGGTCGTCGGTGAGGGCAGCCTGTGGCGCGGGTGACGACGGTGGGCAGGCAGCGTACGCTGAGCGCTGAGGCTCCCGGGTCGCCTGGCCAAGGCAGTGCGCGAGGCAAAGGTGGGGAAAGCACTGAAGGGTGGCTTCAGTGCCAGAAAGTCTGGCTTTTTTATTATTTAGGTTATTCTTGTCTATTCTGAGGGGAAGATTACATTACATAGGTTTGAATAGCAGCCTTTTAACTGCCAGCACCGGTATATTGCTGTCAATCATATGCGGGCTTCATAATGAAACTCTAAATTTTTTATTAGGTCTAACTCAGTAGATGTTTGCGTTCATAACCTCTCTGAGGCACATGGTCTAGTACGCTTGTGAATGCGTTACTTGGGTCCGTGAATCACGAGCCCTGTAAGCACGTTACTTACCGCGGTCTCGTGATGATCTTGTTACTGAGATAGCTCTGTGCACGGCAATTAGTTGGTTTTAGCAGACGAAAGAGAAACGTGTCTCCAAACAAGTTAAAAGTTTATGCAGCCTGCGTAGTTGTTGTGCCGCTGCAAAGCCTGACCGATTTGCTTTGCTCTTTTGAAGAAGACGTGCCGCTGCTGTGAGGAGTAGCCGCGTGCCTTTCCAGATTGCGTAGCGGGGAGCTGCCGCTGCTGTTCTCTTACTTTTTCTAAGCAAAGAGAAGAAGAGCGTGGCGCCATGTTCTGGGTGCAAACGTGGCTCTAACGCACGCTGTGTGTCGGGGCAACGTGGGCCGTGTTTGCCTGCGGTGCGTCCGGAGCGGCGCGTATCACGTGCCTGGAGTTACTGTGGGTTTACAGTAGCACAACTGAGAGCAGAACTGGATTTTCCGCTTCCCCAGAGAGCATGTTTTTGGCACCGTTTTTGGTTCTGTTTGTACCTCTGTCTAACATTTGGCGATGAAGTCGGTTCAGATTAAGCAGTTTGTTTAGTCAGCGTTTTTCCTCCTTTCAGTTTTTGCTCTGTACTCTTTCCTTGATTTAGCAAACGAACAGAAGACGTCCCTCTGCGTGTGAAGGTGAAATCCTTTTCTGCTCAGCGTTCACTTGTGTTTTATACAAATAAAATTGTCTTAACGGTTAGTAGTACGATGCCATCTCTAAGCTTTCAATAAGCAGCTCACAGATGACAACGGCTGGGCAAACGCTAAGGATTCATTTGATACAAGCAGATGGATGCAGCTAGAGTCTCAGTTGTAATTTGTGCCGAAAAGCTTTCCCTGGCTATCTGATTTCCTCATGTTGTGTGTTTGGCTTCTTTGGTTGGGTCGAGGGCCTTTTCTGAGATTTTTACACGGCATGTATGATCGCACACTGAAAACTGTCTTCAACGGTCTCCGCAACGCCAGTGCGGAGATTCATAGTAGCCTTTTTTAAGAGGCCAAATTTAGGTATTTAGTTTTAAATCTCTTTTTAGCTCAAAAAGCTCAGAAGCAATGAGCTATCATTTTTTCCTTTTTCTAGCTAATATTTCTGATCCTTGT